GGGTACAGTACTCTTGGTTGAAATTGCTTTTCCCTTAACACTTTGAATATATTTTCCTATTCTTTCCTTGCTCACATTGTTTCCAATGAGAGGTCTGCTGTTAGTCTAATGGGATATCCTTTGTAGGTAACTTGCCGTTTTTCTCTTGCCAATCTTAGTGTCTTGTATTTGTCTGTGGTTTTGGTCAGTCTGGCTATAATGTGTCTTGGAGAAGATCTTCTTGGGTTGATTCTATTTGGGGTCCTTTGTATTTCTTGGAACTGGATCTTTGAGTGCTTCTCTAGGTTTGGAAAGTTTTCTTGCAGGATCTCATGGAATAGATTATCAATGCCCTGATGAATCTCTTTGCCTTCTGGGATGCCAATTATCCAGATGTTTGGACATTTGATGGTATCTAGTATTTCTCATATATTATTCTCAATTTTTTGGACTATTTTCTCAGTCTTCGTGGTAGATTTTTCTAGGCCAGCAATTTTCTTTTCTACATCTGAGATTCTATTTTCTGTATGATCTAGTCTGCTTTTAATACTTTCAAAGGAGGTTTTGACTTCCTGTATTATAGCCTTCATCTCTAACAGTTACATCTGATTCTTTTGTAAAGTGTGTAATTCCTCTTTTAGATCTTGCATTAATTTCCTCATCTCCTAGAACTTGTCAGCTCCTTTCTCCTGCCTCTTCTACAGTTCATTGTCTCTCTTCTCTTCCATCTCTGTTAGCTTCACCATTATGAATGTTCTAAATTCTTTATCAGACATTTCCATGATTTCCATTGAACTGTCTATGGATGAAGAGGAGTTACTCTTTTCCCTTGGAGGAGAGGTATTTTCCTGTTTTCCCATATTTCTTGTGGTCCTGTGGTGATTTCTAGTCATCTGAAAGTTCAATCTGAGCATCAAGGAGCATGCAGAAAAGGAAACAGAAAGAGAGAGAGAAACAACAACAACAACAAAGAAACAAAGAAAAAGAGAAGAAAAATAAGAGAAAAACTGAAAAAAAACTTAAAAAATTAATATTAAAAATTTTTTTTAAAAAGCAAAAATTAGAAAACTGCATGGTGCACAAGTGCCACACAAAATGGCTTCTTCTCAGGAGCCATGAAGGTGTTTTCAAGAAGGCCTGTTCCCTTGCTTCTCCTGGGTTGGGAGGAGGAGAGGGGATTATTAACAAGATAAAGGGAAAGGAGAGGCCAGAAAGCCCAGAAAATGCTTTGCCTTAAAAAATTTTTAAAAGGAAAAATTCCAAAAAAAAAAATGAGAAGACAGAGACAGAGGTAGAGAGAGACAAAGACAGATACAGAGAAGGAGGTTGGAAAGTCTTCTTCTTACCACGTGAGTTTGAGGGCTGGAGGCTGAATTATCAGTGGAAAAATCTTCATTTCTCTGTCTCCCCTGAAACGGCTAGTTCTCAGGAGCCATAAAGGTGTCTTCAAGAAACAATAGTTCTTTTTTTTTTTTTTCATATTCCTGATCATTTTAATCTGTAAAACAGATTACATGCTTCGTAGGCAAAACCAAAGATAAAACCCTCAATGCCTTGTATTTTGTTCATGGTTATTACACAAGACTGGTATATAAATACTACTTGAAAACACAGTTTTTCTAAGAGCAATAATAAATATTGAACTCAAAAAAGTTAACAAGCATTCAACAATTCTCGAACAGATATTCATCAAAATGAGGTAAGTCTAATGTGTCATTTGCTAAAGAATTTAATGCTGCAGTGGAAAAAAACTCATCAAAAATATCAGTCTTCATGGAATTTTCCAAGTTTAATGTTCTGATACAGGCATTATTTGTTAGTGAGCCTGGCTGAACTTCACATTGATTTTTCTTGGTGGGGCTGCAATAATTATGTTCCTGTCTCAGATGTGTGTCCTGGGAAACATAATTTAATTCATGAGGTACTGTTGCTGGGACATGGTTATCTCCCATTTCCAAATACCTAAAGTCCGCTTCTCCATTTTCTGAGAGCTCTGTTGAAACAGCAGTTGGAGGAGACAGTAATTCTGCTAAAATCTCCTCATGAGTTTGACTACTGTATGGGGAAGCATTAGTAGTACATCCAGATTTATCTGCAATATCAATTTGATACTGTAGCTCATTTAGCAAGTCTATTGATCACAATCATTTGGAGACCCACAATCGGGAGTATGTTCTGAATGTCCACTTGGAAGTGGTTTACTTTGGGGGGAAGATATCAGAGCAGCTAACTTCTTTTTGGCCGTTAGTTTTTTAAGGAGTTTTAGACAAAGTTTATGAATCTGACCTTCAACTGAATCTCTGTGGTTTGCTGAAGAAACATCATTTTCATTTCCATGAGCAATGTGGTGGAGGTGAGGTCCATCTGAGGTGCTTTCACACTTTTCAAAACTTCAGAGGCAGCTGTCACATCGGCAGGAAGCTGAGCAGCTGTGCTGCCTGACGGCAGAGGAGTTGGGGGAGTCTCATTGGCTACAGGACGCTTACTAGCTTTTCTGTGGGCTTTCCTGGATACCCGATTAGCCTTTGGGTTTATGCCTTCAGTTTTAAAGCCACCGAAATTATTTGCCCCTTTAACTGAAGGCTGCAAATCAGTTATAGAACTTCTATTATGAGCTGAAACACAAGGTGGCATAAAAGAAGCACCCCTGCTTAATAAGCCTTTAACCCAACTTCCCGCAAATGGTTTCTTCTGACTTTCTTTCAGAGTCTGATCCTGTAATGACTTAACTGTTACGATCTGAGAATGTGCTACAGTTTCTTTTTTCTTCAAATTAGATACCTGAGCTGTAACATGCTCTGGTTTTAATTTCTCACTTTTTGGTGTAAGGATCTGTTTTGACTGAGTGTCCTCCAATTCTACTGACTGCACTCCCTGTATAAAACCAGGAGCATGAATGTGATCCACAGAGTTAGTAATTACATTATCGTTTGCATTCAGCTGTAGTGATTGCGTGTTTGTCTTTATAACTTGAGATGGAAAGCTTAACTCCACAAATTGGTCTTGTATAAGCTTTTCATTACACAGCACTGACTCTGAAGAAGCCGTTAGTGATTCTTGTGTTTGGAAAGCATTTGTTCGGCCAATTTGTGTATTTTCTGTCACCGGTTTATTTTCTAATAGCAATGTTTCAGAGTTAACTTGAAAATTTGAAGCAGTTTTCTGGGTAGTTTCTTCAAGTGTCAAGGGTAAATTATTGTCGACCTCTGGATCTGGAAGTAAGTGAGCTTTTAGGAGCTACAGTTTCATCCTGTGGAAGAGTGTGAAGAGTAACTGACACATTCTCTGGGTGAGCTATCAAGGACATCTCAGCTGAGGTGGCATCACCAACACACCAGGACACTGGACATACAGGTGTCTCATCACTGAAAGAGTGAACGTCAGTCTTAAGTGGGAGGTAGGAAGCTCCTTCATCTGTCACTTGAGATGTTTTTCTTTCCCAAATAACAATGTGTATCTCTGATGCAGGAACTTCAAATTTCTCATGCCTTTCAGAACACTGGCCTTTTAAGTCATCACATTCCAGCCAACTTCCATCAGCATCTAAAATCCATGTTATAAAATGGTTATTTGCTTGGTACTGAATTACAGACGTGATCTGATAAAGACAGCCTTCAAAATGAAATTTATAGTGTTGCAAGTCACTCTGTGGTAAGCCTTCAACAAAGTGCACCATGAATATAGGAGATACTCTGTGGGAAACAAAATCAGGAGTCAAAAAAATGTAATGCCATGTGCCTAGTTATACAAAAGATGATGTGAAGTGAACTAGTCACACATAACACTTTCAAGACAAACTGCAATAATTTTTCTTGAGCACCTCCAGATGTGTGCCTTAATTAGAAATGGAGAACTAACTCTAAGAAGTATGTAACACTAAACTCTTTTAAGAATGGTATCAATGACAGTTGGAAGCCATCATGCTGTAAGATTCTAACACAGACCATTAAACAAAAATTGCTCTGTAAGCAAGATGTTGCTTTGGCTTAAACAAGATCTCGTGGAAGCTATTTTGTAGGATCAAAGGAAAGAATACAGACCTTTTAGAATTTTCTAACCAACACATCTAAGAAATTCAAATAAACACTAATTTGGCTTATTTCTCTCTGTTATCTCTGAAAGTAGAGCGGTGCATTAAATTAAATTTTCTACTCAGGAAAAGAAAATTATATACTGATTTTCTATAAATTTCAAGATATCCATAATTTCAAAAATACATTTTACCATTCATGTAACATGTCAGAACCAGAAAAAGGAATCCAAACATGGGCTTCAATTAACTAAATTTAACAAAGCTCTCAGGATTTAAGAAAAATGTTGACTATCCTTTTTCCTAATACTTAAACAGCTGTCAAAACTTACTTAATTAGCTCATCAAAATGTATTCAGCTGAAATGAACTTGAGTCAATGTCCAAAAGCAGATTATTCAGACTGACAAGGGATAATTTGTAAATCACTCCTTGAGATTTTATTAGAGAATAATCAAGTCCTCGATATATCTATACACACGTACATATAAATGTAAAGTTCTGTGGACTGTCTATAACACTACTCTTCTCACCAATTTATCCTATCTATGCTATCCAGTAATCAAGTCCTCAAAATTTATATGCTGATATATAAAAGGTTCTGCAAGATATTTATAACACTAAATTATAAAACTCACCATTATGAAAATATATTGCCAAGTAAACTATACCACATCCATTAACTCAGATGTAGTTTGACATGTTAAAAAAACGAAGTATGGGGCCATTTGGTGACATAGTACTTAAGGCGCTGGACCTCCACAGGGTAGACGATAGTTTGAGTCCCAAACTCAGCAGCTTGAAACTCATGCCAGGTGTGTACATGTGCCCAAAATCCCGAGAGGAGAAGGGATTGTGGCATGGCTATCCCTCTGGGGTAGGGAAGGAGGTGATTTTTCGCTTTCTGTCTGTCTGGAGAGTGCACACGCCCTATACCAAAAATACTCCCCTGAAACGGCTAGTTCTCAGGAGCCATAAAGGTGTCTTCAAGAAACAATAGTTCTTTTTTTTTTTTTCATATTCCTGATCATTTTAATCTGTAAAACAGATTACATGCTTCGTAGGCAAAACCAAAGATAAAACCCTCAATGCCTTGTATTTTGTTCATGGTTATTACACAAGACTGGTATATAAATACTACTTGAAAACACAGTTTTTCTAAGAGCAATAATAAATATTAAACTCAAAAAAGTTAACAAGCATTCAACAATTCTCGAACAGATATTCATCAAAATGAGGTAAGTTTAATGTGTCATTTGCTAAAGAATTTAATGCTGCAGTGGAAAAAAACTCATCAAAAATATCAGTCTTCATGGAATTTTCCAAGTTTAATGTTCTGATACAGGCATTATTTGTTAGTGAGCCTGGCTGAACTTCACATTGATTTTTCTTGGTGGGGCTGCAATAATTATGTTCCTGTCTCAGATGTGTGTCCTGGGAAATATAATTTAATTCATGAGGTACTGTTGCTGGGACATGGTTATCTCCCATTTCCAAATACCTAAAGTCCACTTCTCCATTTTCTGAGAGCTCTGTTGAAACAGCAGTTGGAGGAGACAGTAATTCTGCTAAAATCTCCTCATGAGTTTGACTACTGTATGGGGAAGCATTAGTAGTACATCCAGATTTATCTGCAATATCAATTTGATACTGTAGCTCATTTAGCAAGTCTATTGATCACAATCATTTGGAGACCCACAATCGGGAGTATGTTCTGAATGTTCACTTGGAAGTGGTTTACTTTGGGGGGAAGACATAAGAGCAGCTAACTTCTTCTTTTTGGCCTTTAGTTTTTTTAGAAGTTTTAGACGAAGTTTATGAATCTGACCTTCAACTGAATCTCTGTGGTTTGCTGAAGAAACATCATTTTCATTTCCATGAGCAATGTGGTGGAGGTGAGGTCCATCTGA